TTGTGTAGAGTGAGGGCGGTCCCGACCGGCGTCCGGGGAATTTAGATTAGGAATTTACTAAGTCCGGGGAATTTATTAGAGAAACCTATCTTTGGGGAATTGTCTTTTGTATCAGAACCTTATTGGGGTAACTTTGTCATCTTTTTTTTGTGATCTGGAGATAAGTTAACAAATATTACAGTGAAGTTAAAACTGGATACTAGTGTGATTGACGATTGATTATTTCTGGTCTGTTGTCTGTTTCCCTTGGAGCATCCGGTCATAAAACACTGGCGGACTCACCACAACGAAGTGCAAAACTGCACTACCCTGTCCTGACCCGTGACATAACGATAGTTGGTTCCTGAAGCTATTATTAAAAACAAACAAAACAACAAAATACTCTACAGCCTCAAATTTGAGTCCTTTGCCTTAGCTGAGCATAATAAAGCATAAATAATGTACACTGTTTTTTATACTCACTGCCCATCGTTTGTTTAAACTACAAGTGATATTCTTATTCATTTTCACAATTAAATGTTAATGATTTCCTCCTGTATTAATGTTTGATTATAATTTATAGTTATTTTACAGATAATGCAAAAATGCATGCAGCGATAATTACATTTTTAAAAACCATTTGGGCCCCTAGTTCATATTTTCGTGACAAATTTTAAACTTGATTAACAAATGCTTAAACTTTGAAAAACTGCTACGTATACGGATGATTTAAATTTTTCTAACAATTTGTCTCAAACAAACGTTTTCAAATCTTCGGCACGCCACTGCAACAGCCGGGTATGCCTGCTGCTTGTCAAACTTGGCATCAACAGCCCACCATTATTCCTTGACACCCTTGCCAATTATTCAACTTTACTGCACCCAGTTGAACATATGAGCTACTGACCCGAGTGTTGGTGATTTAAAGGATATGCTAAATTTGATCATATTAATGAATAGCATGCTATTTGATTGGTAATTATGGTTGTAAAGCCCCGCTATACTGCTAGCAAATATTGTACACAGCTTTTTAAATCAAAGTGTCAACTTTCACGTCTTACGTCACGTCTTAAATCCGAATTTACTTAGCTTTTTTAACAAAAGCCTTAACACATTTGCAGGAAATTGTCGTGGTTGGGAATAATAACTAAGCTGAACTTGAGTCCAATTCGTATAATAATAAAACAAAATCCGATTAAAATAAGACAAATCTGATTGTATTTTTAAAAATACGATTTATAAATTTGTTAGAATCACTAACCCTCATTATTAGGTTGGTGAGCACACAATATACCATAACGCAAAATATTTTTTGCTACCAACATTGGAAACACTTATGGAAACCGTGTTCCTTATCACGCTATCGATCCGTCCAACAATTGAGGTTAGACGTGCTGCTTATGTAGCCTTGAATAGTCTCTAGAGCGTTTACCCATTGCCTGCTGCGTAGGTCCACCAAGTGACAGAGACTCACAGTGGACAAGGTGGGTCCACATATATTAGTTGTCTTAGGCAGGTGCTATCGTGCGGGCAAGAAAGGGGTAAACTATTGAATTCACCCGTCACCACCCTGATCAACTACCTCATTTTTTCAACCATTTCTTGAAAAAGGGTAAGAAGAAATTCTCGTCTGGCTTCCTAACAGGCTAAGTGTCTTGAAACAACAGCAGTCAATATTGCAAGTCATTACAAATTCGGAGACATATCAATGCGGGCGATTCACAGCGCACCACTAAGGCTTTGCCGAAGCCACTTTTGAAGTTTACGGTCGACACACACTGCGGCTATAAAGCACAATTTGGTTAATCTGGTTATTTGATCGACGAAATGATCATTTGGACCACTATAACGTTTTCAATAAGCAATTTCACATTTTCAACCAATATAAACAAACCATTTAGAAACAATTTTGGAGACATTTTTGCAAGTTATTAGCTGGAATTTAATGAAGAAAAAGTCATGCTGTATACCTGCCCCCCCCCAAAAAAAATAACTAGAGGTTATACCTAAAGCCACACTGCAAAAACTGACAAAAACTAATACATGCAAATCAGATATCAATATGGTCAAAAGTATGCAGTTTTATGAACTTCTGATACATATTGCTAATCTTTCTGCTGCAACGTCTCTCATGTTCCAATACTTGATCGCAAGCAAGTATACACTGTGATATATTTTAGCTAGTTTATTTTTCAGCTTGATTCGTAACTGTTATGCCACAAAATTCTTGAATGGTTATAAATCTATTCCAAAACCCATCACACCCAAACAAGATCTTACTGCGTCCTCAAAAAATCGGGAGTGTGGCCCGTCGTGGTGACATTATGTTTATCGTAGTAAGAACTTAGTGGAAACTGATTGCAAGGTGGTACTGTCTTCATGGCCATGTTGCGGAACGAAGTGGTGGGATACCAAAAATGTCCGGTGGCGCTCTTCCGATAAAGTTAACTTTTCGCAACAGTCATGTAAAAATTGAATATGCTCAATCTTTATGTAGTAGGCTCCCAGCTGCTTGAGATTGCAGTGAAGGCATCTTAACGACAGAGTAAAGACGGCATACAGGTAGTTTTCGCATATCAGAATCGTGGTAGGTTTCTTTATGGACTGGGGACAAGCCCGAATCTACCAGGAAGAGTTTTATTCCATTTCACTGAGTCAAAGAATTGAGCGGTCGCACTTCAAGCCTACAAATAAAATGCTTACCAATGCTTGTTTTCCAAAGGCTCGAAAACAAGATATGAAATATGTGGTGTGTTGCATGAAAAATATCTCCAGTGGTAAGAGCAACAGAAGCAGAGACATCAAATAGCCTCAAGGTCCTACAAAAATTATTGACCGCTCTCGCATAAGCAAAGAACTCACTGTGCAATTATCGGCCGATTAGAAAAGAGACCTTGATAGAAAGCGTTTCGCTTGTTTATATTTAGGATGTGCACTGGCATTCAGCCGCATTTTACCAGTCACAGACATTGTGCTCTGACGAACCTATAGACACACTTGTCATACAATGGACACCCTTATTTTATATGGTCAAAACAAGGTATGAGTAATCCAGAATATTTGCACGTTGAAACCATCAAGTGAGAAAAAGCACCGAAAAAGAAAGCGAAGAAGAAGAAAATTGTGTCACCGATGATACCAAAAAGATTGCCTGAGATATGACATTTGAATACGGGATTCTTATTGCTATGGTGTGGTGCAGCGAGGTCTGCAAAGTATACGCAACGGGGACAGCAGCATATTCGAGTTATTTTGTGCTGGCGGAGCACGGGAAGTACAAGACGGTACAACACCGTGCTATCGCCTCCTTGGTCCAGGAAACGAGGCGGCATTGCGCGGCAGCCTGTCTGCAGGAAGATCGGTGCTGGCAGTTCTGCTACGGGCCTTCCACAGGGCAATGCATCCTGGAGGATGCCTCCTTCATGTCACTGTCTGGACGTGGAACTGACAACTGCACCTACTACAACAGACGAGGTAGGAATAGTACTGTAAATTGCATTCATTTTCCAGTTGTCGTGATGGAGGAGCATCACTTCTTCCAAAATGTTAAGCCATCTCTTACTAAAGCATGCAATTTTAATTTTTACCATGCCAATGTTCAAAATAAGGGTGGTCCAATAAGTTATCAGTTCACATAGGCCTTATGGTTACGGCTCCCTTCAATTTAACCAATGTAATAGAAGTGGTATTTTTATGTAAAATGACTCATCGATGGGTTTCGCTTTTTCCACAGTGTGCAACAGCTCGTACAGGCTGACTTCATTTCACCAGCACGTATTCCCATTCCCGGCTTTCAATGAGGAGTTTGTGCTAGACGCTTCCGTACAGTGCCAGGCTTTCCCTATGATCATCTTGTCTGAAGATGGCACCAAGGCGGGCACCAAGTACCAAATAAGTATGACAAATATGGCTCTGATCAAATCCTAGCAGAAAAAAAGATCGTCTCATACCTTCATCTAGAAGATGCATTTAACATGCAGCAGTGGTCGAAAGCTTAGATACATCTTTATAATCAGAAGCGCAAATGTGTGCCAGACATTTTGGAGGGTGGGGAACAAGGTAAAGGCGGGGATGGCAACATGCCTGGCCATGGAAATGTGAAAAACTGGGTAGGGGCATAACCCCATATGACTTAATATAGAGATCAAAATTCATGATATTAATGTACATCTGTAATACGTATTAGAGTCGTGCAAAATCTTACACCAGAATGGCATATCTGGGGCTTTCCGTTTTGAGTAGTATTGAATACATTTTAGTCTTGGGGAAGTCCGAACAGTTCTTTAATTAAAATCCACATTACGTTTTGCTTACCACTGAAAGTGTGGGGGTATTTCGACAGTTTATTCTCCCAGCCTCAAACATCGGAAGGATATATACACCAATTTCCATTGATATTTACACACGTCTTTAATGTAAGCGAAGTGTACAGTTCATTTACAAGTTTAACTCCCTTCTTTCTCGGTACATTTTTTTTTGAAAAAGAATCCATCTGCTGTAATTAGAGTGATTTATTACACTTGATACGTTATTACATTGTTGGCCAACATGCTATTATCGGTTGCTGATACATCATCCGATAACTACTTTGTACCAGATGGTTCTTTAGCTTGGAATAACATAAACAACGTCAAGAAAATCCATGAGGTTAGTTCAATATCTTTCGTTGAGGGAAAAAATACAAATTTGTTTGTTTTCCCGGTTTGAATTTACAGTACTTGGTGGGACTACCAAGATCCGCAGATGCACTCAGTGCTCCGTGTTGAAAAGTGTACAGACCCCAGGTCTAGTGAGTCAGTATGAGATGCGACGCCTTTGGATGAGGTACAACCACGGTACCTTCCTCTTGGGCAGACACAATGATGCACCATTCTTGCAGTGGACTGACCCGACACCTGTGGCTGCCCAGTTCGTCGGCTTCTCTAACTGGGGTAAGCCCGCGACCTGGGTAGCCCATCATACCTGTGAGTGAAGGCCTGCGCCGTTAAGTCGTTTACATCTCGAAAGTCTTACGTCCTCGTATTGGTCTCATGTTCCATTTTTGGTTCCATTGGCCTCTACGTCCCGTAGGTTCATACGTCCGCCTGTTTCGTTGTCTCATCGGTTTTTTTTTTATGTCCAACTGGACCTACATCCCTCTGGTCCTACCCAAAGCTGGACCTTCGTCCCATTGATCCAGCGTCCAACTACGTTTCATTGTTTCTTTGTCCCACTGGTCGTTAAGTCCCATTTGTCCTACTTCCAAGCTTATGATATATGCAGTTAGTCCCATGTCACATTGGACCTACACCCTAATGGTGATACGTCCCATTGTGTATTGTCCCATTGGTCCCAAGTTCCACCTGTTTCATCGGCCTTCACGTCCAATTGCATTATAGAAATTATTAACATCGCTGGACTGTGTTATACCACGATTTGAAGGGATGTTTGAGGTAGACTTAGATTTTATTCTCATCTACATGTATATATATGTGCATGTTTTAATAGGCAAAATTAATATCTGCCAAGATGCCTCCAATAAAACACTCCGACGACGACCACAAAGAAACCATTTTGCTGTAAAACTACAGTAAGACGTAGCTAAGACTGGGTAAAACTACGGTTTGGCAAAAATCATTTTTTGAATAAGGTTGTATTATGTTTTTCCTGCTTTGTCGGCAATTGCTTGAAGTTTGCTTACAATCTGGGCACGATCAAGCTGAACGTGAGTCCCAACTCTGCTAAGATCCGATCAGATCGTTCTGCGATGTAAAAGAGTTTGATATGATATGATAATGGTAATACAATGTTGCTGCAAAAAATGTGTACGGTACGCTCCAATAAGCAATCTGCTGTCACGTTACCGAACATTTCCAATACATGTATATGTTAGATGGAAGGATGCACCCTAGCAGAGCGTTGTGGGAACGGCAAAAGTTGTTTCCGCTGAAGATGCATTGGTACCATGTCTATGGATCGAAACACGACGCTGCCGTCTTGACTAGGTTGTTAATACGCTGTCAAGGCGATTTGAAACCATATTACAACCGTCCAACGTAAGCCTTGAACATGTTTAATATTTTGGCACCAACGTCACGTGTATTATGACCCTACCATATTACGTCGCTATCAGTTGCTAAATGAGTTCTAACAACGAGACACAAGACATCACCACGATTGGCCACCCATCCTGATTTTTTTGAAGGCGTAGTAAGATCATGTGACTGGGGTTTATTTTAATCACCGTTGTTGTCCACAGGCTTGTTAAAAGACTGCTCAAACGTCCAGTGGATGAACGTTTAACCCAAATGCCTAACTTGTCCACATCTTATGAAATTTCGTGAAAGTGTTGCAGGAAAAAAGTGACATTTAATCGTTTGGTTTTTAATATTAGGTAGAACATATATCAACATCCAGAGGTAAACCTGTACTGTACCTTTTTGGTTTATAGTTTTCCAGAATGAAAGTCCGTGTTTGATATTGTTACCTTTACTTTTTGGGCTTGCCGAATAAATATATGTCAATATGCCTTGATAATGAAACACCCTGCAACAGGTGGACAGCGATGAAAGTACTTCCCCCCGCCTTTCAATGTTTTGAATGAATTATACATTGATCCATTTGGAGAAAAGTAACTTCTTACCTGCTAAGGCAGAAAGAGTAATAACCCCCGATTAGGACCTGTCAAGATATGTACATGGGAAGAACGAGTAGGAAACGGGTTCTCTTGTGATACCAGATAACTGCGTGTAACTTAATGCCTTGAGGAGATATGACACGAAAAATATGACAGGAAATACCACGGCTATCAAAGCATCCTTTCCAGAAAAAAAACTGCTTTGAAAAAAGAGCACGCACCCCGCCACCAACATCAACATTAGGAATGCTGTGTGAGCACCCATGTTCGCTCTCGATTTAATTACCACAGCAGACAAGCTGTCGCCAGGAAATGGCACCTAAGCTTGACTAGTGTCTCCAAACTTTGTTTCCTTAATTTCGTCCCCGCATTAAAAAAAAATGCATTGAAATCGAAGGCCTGAAGTCAATCTGAACAAACTAAATTTTTCCCGACATTGTTCGGTGGCAACACTTTGGGACAGTACTTGCTAGCTATGGGGTAGCTCCAGCAGTTGACGCAGTTTAATGGTACTGATTTCACATGAACAGTATTTTGAAGGGAATACCAGGGTGCACAGCTAAGGTGTCGCTACAAATAAAATATTGCAGAAATAAAAAATAAAATAGATTAAAGAACTGCAACAAGATACTCTCTAAGGTCAGCCTTTAGCTTCAATATAATTATCCAAGGGTTTCGAGGATACGTCTTTTCTCTTTTAGCACTTTTTCGAATTTGGACGTTCAAGGGAAATTTATGTGAAAAAAACCCTGCATGTAATTTGATTTGTTTGTCCTTGAACACCCATTCTGTTTGACATTGAAATTTATGTTGAACTGAAGAATTATCTCTCTGGTACTTATGGGTAGTAGTTTTTGGGCTCTAAGTATGACAAATTGTAGTAGGTCATACAGCCTGGAGAGAAAAAAATGTGGAAAGGTGTGGTTATGTTTTTGCAGTAGAGCGTAGTGTTTTGGTAAATACATCGACTGCATTCTTGTTGTTCTTAATCAAAATTTGATATCAATGAGTTCGTACTCAAGTAGTGTGTGAATATATTGATCGTTATGTCGTACTCAAGAAACGTGTGAATATTATTGATCGTTGTGTTCATGTGACCACTGACATTTCTTATTAATCGATTGGTCAGTTATTTCATTAACTGTGTAGGACTGTGATGTGGCACAATTTGATTGGACTTCTTAGCCAGACTGAATTTTTCTCAACTATATATGTATTATCTCCTAATGCTTGAAAGCAATTACCATCGTTTTTCACAAGCAATTACCATCGTTTTTCACTGGTTTCCTAAACGTCTGCTAAAATATACAGTGGTTTCTAATCTAAAAGTCTTGGTTGCTAACTTTGTCATTACCTTTACTGTTTGGGGGCCTGCCAGAAGAATGCGTACGAACAGATTACGTGCGCAGTTGGCTGCTTTTCAGAAGGATGTATTTCTATTATTACTACAAAGTTATAGAACCGATAGGGCTACAACCAAATGTAGTCCTCCTGCAACCTCCTATTTTGAGCCTCTATGTATCTGGGGCACATCCAAAAAACCCTACCAATTCTGAGAATCCTAACATTCCAAAAAATCCTCATTGAAGTGTGCAGAGAAGTAATCCCTTTTCTTCAGCAACCTTCCCTCTGCTGTTATTGTTGGCAATCAACCACTCTGGACTTGTCAGCCCATAACGGCAACCGAACCTATTCCAAACTAAAACCAAACCCTAAAACAGTCTCGTAGGCTGCTGGTTGGATGGGATGCCTGTGGGTTAGGTTTCTGGGAAGGTTGGTGGACTTCAAACAAAAATCAGCGGACAGGCTCTAATCTTCTGCAGACAGTGTTGGGTTCGGTCTTCGGCAACTCCCCAGCGTTTATAAACTAAACCCGTTACAATTGAACACTTAGTGCGTTGAGACGTGAAGTGTTAAACACAAAAAGTGTTTATCATCGGGACATTAAACGCCTGTTTAGAGCTTATTAAACGTTATTTTTTCCGTCAGGACTCTTCAGTGCCTATGAAATTCAAAGCTCCCGGTGTAAGTGTTATATATGGATGTAGAAGGATTATCACCTAACTTTTATGCCAAAAAATATACACTGTGTTAAAACAGTTCAGTTGTACCGCACAACGTTTGAGACACGACACACTCGTGCATGCGTGCTTCAATCGCTTTCCGCGTTCCCCGCACGTCTGCTGGCTGTTATTGGTTTCAAATATAGAGAGAGCCGACCATTCAGATTACATCTACTCGTTCCCTCCATATGATCTTGCATATAACATGCATAGATATTTCAGGATCTCGGGGGGTGATAATTTTCTGAAGAAAACTAATGTCTGTCAACAGTCTGACACCCATTTCCCCCCGTGTTAAGCTGTGCCCGTTGGCTTGCCACTCCTCACATCACTGTGTATACCTGCCCACGTGTATTCTCATTACCAAATAACGTGCAGTTCATAAACACTGCACCATTTATAAACGTGTCAAAGTGTATAAAGAGTGTTACAGTCTGTACACACGATTAGTCCTTTGTGTAATTAACACAAACGGATTTATAATTAAAAAGTGTTCACAAATAATTCCAAACACATCAAGATATTTAACAATAAACAGACGTTGTTTTTAATAAATAAAATGGTATGTTAAGTGCATGAACGTGTCACGTGTTCATTTAAAACGTGTCAAAATGTGTAAACGAGTAAGATTTGCGTTTAGAAGTTAAACGCTTGGGTTTTACATTGTAGCTGCTGTAGATCAGAACAGGTACCGCCAAATTGGCTTGAAATAAGCAAGAACAAGTGCACAGGGGCGTTAGGATGTGTGAGGTTAACGCCCATCTCGTACTAGCCAGTCTCTTCAACAGTCGTAATGTGAGGAATAATGTAATAGCTCAATGCAATGTAATGTAATGAACAGTCAGATTTTATAAGCAGTTAGACCCACGACTGTGAATCATGACTTATGACTCTCAGTAACACTGTATGGGATCTGTCGTATCCTGGAGCCTTATGCTTTCCCAGAGATTTAAGCGCTACAATTATCTCTTTCAGTGCCGTGGACTCCAGCAAAAAGCTGGACTAAGGGAGTATGCTGTTGAGTTTCTTAATTTCTAGTTGCCTGCTTTGACGGATTTTTTCGCCTCAGTCTTAACCCTGGGACGCGGTATGATTTTTTTTTACGTGGTGGCCTCTACGTAGGGTTAATAATTGACTAGAACAGTTGCAACTACGTTTAGAGAGACAGTGCATGGTTAAGGTGGATCTCATCATGGTACTTCAGTAGTACTTAAGTACACATTGTCCAGATCATTGCATCAAAAGAAAGTATTAAATTTTATTATATCGGAACATCTTGAAATAACTTCATGCCAAAGATTCTTGTAGTCTTAGTGAAATGATCAGTATGAATGAAATGACTTTTTTTCTGTGGATTTTGTCTGGGGTATGAATAATTTTGACTAGGAGCAAAAAAATCCTTATCTGTTAGTATGCAAACTGGAGTTTAGTCGACTCTCATGTGGGTTTGTGTATTGCAACAGATGTAGTGGAAGTACTAACATAAATAGCTTTAACAAATAAAGAATTTAGAAAAGTATGTTATTTTCTAAAGGTTGTGGCTAATTTTGAGCACAATTGTATGTTCAGCACTGTAAAGACAGCTGAGTAGGCTTCATTGAGGTCTGGTGATATTCAGATACCCTTGGTATTAGCTGTCTAATGAGTTTAAAGAACTTTTTCCAGCTAGCCTTTTGAAAATTTCCCATCCTCTTTTTGGGAGGCTTACGATGGTCATTTTGACGTCACTGCAAGCGATGGCAGGTGAGTGGCAGATCCGGGAAATGTTTGCAGCCCCATTTTGTTGTACCATTTACTGATGGTGTTAGAGGCAAGCCACAGGCTTCGGCAGGTCCATTAACTGTGTTTTCCTGTTACAAGTGTTCTAGGCAGTGGCGTAACCACGGGGCGTGTTCCTTAGGTCCCCCCCCCCAAAAAAAAAATTAAAAAAACAAACAAACGGAGGAATGGATATTGAACAAAGCTAACCTGAACCAAAAACCCACACCTGGTGCCCCTTTGTGCCCCCAGCAGTACAATCCTAGCTTCGCCACTGATTCTAGGATCTTTGATGTGGAACAGGAGAAAAAGATTGTTTTCTGCAAAATCACTGACAACAGAGTCCTTTCTATAGCTATTATTGTATCTTCATTGAATGTTTCTTCAATGAAAATAATGGCAAACGTAGGGAGAAATGATATCTGCAGGTCAGCAGGTAAGAAACCGTTCAGGTTGCAGATAGAAGAACTCGTATCTCCAAAGAATCATCACTCAATTGGTTTAGTTAGGGGATACCTGTGTCGATATTCCCCTTTTTGTTAAAGCAGGCAATGCCGTGTTTATAATGGCTTAGGTCGAAACATTACAGGGTTTTACATTTAAAACATTAACGCCTGAAGTCGGAGGTTGTTGGTAAAGGTAGTGTTATGCCTGTCTTCGGTCACATTTCTAAAATACTCATGTCAGAATTAGTGCTCTTAACTTAAGATCACCAATCCTGATATTGGTATTTCCTCAGGTGGTTTCGGTAACATGAGTCATTTCCCCCAAAATATATATTGTTAGTAGGAGCAGTGCCATGTTAAATCTCCATATTTGGGTTGTGCAAGGATTCCAGAAGCTCACCGCATGACCTGTCGCTCGTACGCTCTCGTGGTGTCGCTTTCTATTTGATAGCCTTCTGTTTCGTAACATTTGGTGGGAGCACTAAAATAAGCGTTAAGCTCGAAAAAAGCAACAACTTATAAATTAGTCAAGGGGCTTTTCTCGGGAAAAGAGGCAGTCAACAAAATACCCCAAATACACATATACCTTAAAATCGACTGTGGGGATTTAAGGGAGCGAGCAATATACGAAAATGTTGAAATCGCTGTAAATTACAGAAGAGACAACGTGGTTCTTTAAGGACAACTTTTACTTTGGCAATTGTCAAGGGCATCCGGGTTACTCAAATTGTCACGGTATCATTATGCAGGTTGTTCAGCCTTATTCCCATGCAACATTCGACAAAGAGTGGAAATGGGAAAAAGGGTCCTTTTTTTTAAACAAGCTAGGTCACTCAAGACACGCACTGCTTTTTCCAAATGGCCTCGGACGCGTTTAATTTTTGCCAGCACTCCAGTTGTAATATGAAACTGGTCACTTGCAATTTCCACGGAAGCAATTACTTTCATTTTGTTTACGTGGAGGGGCTGGGCTCTGCTTTTTTTTCTGTACTCTGTTTGACAATTTTGGTGATTCCATATATAGAAACGATGTACATGCGTGACATCGATTTAAATTTTTGTTCTCTCTCTTTTATAAAGGCGCTCGTTTACCTTTAAAAATACCCCAGTATTTCTTTTGAAGGAAAGTTGCAAGAGCACTGGCACCTCTGTTTTGGACCAAAAAGTCGAGCTGCACAGCTGAGCTTTGAAGATACACAAAGAAACAAACGAACAAAAACCGACTAAGAAATAAAAGGATCCCACGGTTAGCGTGGGCATCGACGAAATCAGGCAGTCTTATTTATGAAAAGCACACTCCGTGTAGTTGTTTTCGTGTTGCTTGCGTATGGATGATTGGAGACCAACTTTACAAAGGCCGTCTCTGAATGGCTGCACCTGCGAATAATACCCATGTCTTTGGGAAGTAGATATGGAGCTGCTTTCAGGGACTTCAATATTGGAATTTTTTCTTATTTGGTCTGTTATTTATTTAATTTTTATCGGGTTTTTAGAGCAGACACAGTATTCAGAATCTATTGGCCCATGGCATCCAGAACAATGGACAGGGAAACTTGAAGCATGGCTCCTTTCTAATCAGCGCTGACACTTCGTTTGTTACCGCGTAAAGTCAGGCAGTAATTTAAAATATTAATGAGTGCATTTTTTGTCCTCGACTGTTGTTGAAAAGTAGTCAACAAGGATTGCTTTTTCAAAAAACAATTTGCATTGATAATGGTTATATTACAATTGTACTGAGAAGGAAACAGCATTTTGCTTCAAAAATGATTTAACAATGTGGAGTCGATTGGCCCACAAAAAACAACAACAAGAAGGAAAAAGACTCCACGATATCAGCGACAAATATATTTATGTAATATTCTAACGGTGGTTGCTCAGCCATTGACAAAACCTCTTCCATTGATGTCTCCTAGCTTTTACTCCGTTTTCTCTGCTTCGAATTGAGGACCTAAATGACTTATAATTTGACTTGCAATTTTAGCGAAGCTCGGAGTTTGTAAGCGTTGATTGGAGAATCGCAGGGATTGATTTAATAATACCTGGGTATTTTCAATGTACCAGTTGATGACTAGTCCTGAATTGATTTGATGACTCTACTGCCTTCTGAAAGCACTTAAAGTTTGAACTAAATACGGGCGTTTCACAATAGCGGTCTTCGAAGAGTTTGAAACGCATTGGTCAATCATGATGCGCCAAATCGTTCGACCCAGTGCGCTTTTGGAAAGGGTTTTCAGATTTTACGCGCTGTGATTTGCCAACGCAATGCAGACTCTTGGGGAGGCACTTTTTTGAATCGCCTGTGTTCTGAAACGAGTGCAAATTTAAAGGCAGCTGGAGAACAGCAGTATCATTGATATGTTAAATTAAATGTCACTGTGAAAGAATACGTTTGAAAAAAATGTTTGCTATAAAGTCTAATCTGATTTTGGTTAGAAAAAAACCTAGGGCCCACATTTGCAATGATGAGAATCATAGGCTAAGCCAACGGTCGCGTTAGAATTTTGAACCTAAAAAGGTAACGTATCTCTTAAAGGGGTGGTCTGAGTTGTTAATGTTTATACAAGATAGTGTTTTACCTTAACTCTTTACATCAAATAATCTATTAGTGAATGTGATACTAAAACATGATTAAGAAAGCGTAAAGCCACAAAACAACCATTTAGCCTATAAAACTAATGTCCTGAAAACTTCCAATATGCTAATATTTCTTTAGCGCAGTCTGCATAAGTCCGTTCAATTAAGCAGTCAAATACATGTATATGATATAATTCGTTTAAAGCAAGATGAAAGATATATTTATACACTGCATATGTATTTTCTCGCGTTAGTAGCAACACGCACAATCTAGAGTCTCTCAAAAGGCACAGATTCGTCAATATTTGTTTGTTGAAGCAATTTTGTCTGCATTTATATTAAACTTTTACCAAGAAAGGCATTAAACACGGTATGTTCGAGTTATTAACGGCGACATCCAAGCAACTCCAATCGTAAAGCAACTCCACGTTGCCATCCAGTAGGCTCAATGCGCACTGTTACGGCATCTACTCTCTCATTAAACATATTAGTGACTGGGGTGTTGCCGTTACTGTTACCGATGAATATCTGGAACGAAACAAAATATTTACGGTTTACATTAATTATTTGCTTTATTAAGTAGATTTGCGCGACTTTTTATAAGTTAAACAGATAAGTTTTGCCGTCCTTGCGTAAGATCAGGCGGAAGGGAGAGCAGTGCACGCCGTATTTACGCAATTACGCACCCTGTGGAATAACAGCGCAGTAAAACCATATACTGCGTGCAACACACGTGTCCAGGTTCTTATCGGTCAGACATCAGGAAGTTGGACCTCTCCTAAAACCACAAAACTGGTGAGTACAAACTACATATGAAATGGAAGTTCATTTATTAAAATAGTTAAAAAATCAAAGTATTTCTTCCTGCTGAAATTAACATTTGTATAGCCAAGCAGATAAGACAAAACCTCTGTTTTTAAAACTCCAGATGAGTTTTGTTTTAATATTGGAAATGGGAAAGTATTTTCCAAGCCAGGATACTTCTGAACGACAGGTGGTAGAATTCAACGTACTTCAACAGCTACGTCAGCATTGCTAACTCGCAGCAGCACAAATGATCTGGTTTTCTGTGATTGCGAGAGATCCTGCATTAAAAAAAATTGCAGTTCTTTTACGTTACTGTTACATCCCGATGCTTCATTGCTTTCAGTATACAGGTGTCCGTTCCCAATCACTAATAGAAGGGAAATGTCATGCAATAAACCGATTGCACCTGCAAAGGTCTCATGAACTTCAACAAAACCTGGTGTCCTCCCGTAACATAATATGTCTTTAGTGTTGTTTACCATACATAAAGCCGATTTTCGGTATGGTACTCAGCCACAGTCTGAGTACTTTGCCAACCGGCTTTATTTGTTGGTAAATAACACTTAAGATACACTTTGCCGTGGGAGGAAGCCACGTTTGTTATATTTATGCCCATGCACTATCAGTCTACCACACGACTTAGTGAGCGCAATGCATGTCAGGCCCCTGCATTCATCATGCACAGTCTGTGTGGTCTGGGATCCCCTTTCAACTATGACAGGATACACATGTCAAATCTTGGGAAAAGACTTTTTTGATAATCTGCGTCATTGCATTCCTTCATTACTGCACTTGTATAGCAGAGGGAGCGTTATCCATGCTCTTATTGTTATAAGGGTATTATGTTCAGTGTTGAATATGCATATACAGCTGCAATTCTTAAATGTAATTTCGGGGAGTGAAGCTCGTATAGTTGCAGTACTTTTCGCAACTTCCACTGGGCTCTTCTTACTTTGTATTATTTTTTTCTGACCAAATTGTTCAATAAAGTGGAAATACAACTGTTTTTGTTTACCACAATATAATTAGGTATATATAGCATTTGTACAATTTGTAGCTTTAGATCATTTTCGTTTTGTGAATGGATCTGAACCTAGTTTGGAATTTAAGGTGGCCGGTCTGCCCAACCCCTGGTGTCCGACAAAATGTTAACAGGTGAATTTAAACAACATACGGCTTTGGCAAAATGAGTGGAAGTGATTATAAGCAACATGAGGCTGAGAGCATATACCTGTGTCATCATGGCTAAAAGGGATAAAAGTAACACGCGGCTCTGACATAACCTAAACCGTTCTTTTTCTGCGATACAGTAGATATTTATTCGAGTCTGAGGGCAGGCCTAAACGCTTTATGTGTTCACCTGTTTTACAGTATATACACTGTGGGCGTTTACAGTTTATACCTTGGCATTTCCACTTTCCCCTGCTACGTGTACACGTTCGGACGACGGTTGCTCCTGATATGCCACTTTATAATTCGTCACATACCAAGCGTCTTTTCCTTGTGTGACCACGCCATTCACCTCTGTACTCTCCCCGAGGTCCACCTCAATCCAGGCGTTTGCATCGCCACTGTATTGAATGAAAGGGGAAAAGAAATAATGGGATAACGACACTCCTCCAATAAACTCATCTGTAAAAAAGAGGTTGTCCAAAAATTGCAACTGCAACTATACGTACTGCAACTATCTCTAGTGGTGAAATGTGTAAGTCGATTCTTATTGAGATTGTAAAATTGAGATGTGATTACAAATTCTTCAGTTATACTCTTCAGACAAAGAACCGACGGGAAAATCGGTTTGTAGTTGATTTTGTCCCCATATCTTTCAAGCAGATTATCAGGTGACTATGGATATTTGTAGTAAATATGACGTCAGTTATTTTTGTAAGTGAATCTTGGGTGCGTTTACCTTTATTCATAACATGTTACGTAGGCCTACATTCCTGAACAGTTCAGGCGATTATCTTGAATATTTCTGAAATAAAACTGCATTGTAAGTTCCAAATACAGATACTCACTCGGAATTGCGAGTAGATAATATGAAATAATGATTCAAGAAGTACAATCAATCTAACTCTTTGGTATGAACTGAATACTACTGCAGGGTGTGTGTTTATGGTGCTCAATGTCAATGGCACAAAATGACGAAAGCTAAGGAGCGAGTGCAATGCTACATATGAGCAATTTGATTGGAACATTTCTATTGAAATAGTAAGGTGAAAAGAGGAAGCAGATAACAAGGGAATATTCGAGGCGCTTTTAAGTCCCGGCGAACGATAAAGGGTTGACAGGCTTTCGGGAGCTCAGATCTCTGGGGGGTATGAGGAACTTATTGGTATGGAAACGTCTGTCGGTCACTTAATATCAGATTTGACAATTAAAATAGTCAAATTATCTTTTTGTGCCAAGGAATTTTATAATACTGTTTGTATATCCGTATTAGGCCTTGGGAAACCTTTAGGAAGTTTTAAGGACATGAAAGTCCGGTGATATTCTAAGAGTCAAAGTAAAAAATTGTGTGAGTTTTTCAGTTGAGTGGTGAAGAATTCGTGTAGTACTTCTCTCTCCATATATTTATCAATTTTATTTTTGAATATATGGTTGCCTTGCTTTACTTTAGAGGATACTTATGAGTATCACTGTTGGTTATATTTTGAGAGGCAAATTAATAAATTGTGTATGTTAATCAGTGGAGCTGTGAAGAATTTGTGTAGTTTTTCTCTCTACATATATTTATCAACTTTATATTTGAATGTGTGCTTTACTTTAGGGGATACTCATCAGTACCACTAGTGGTGATATTTTGAGAGACAAAGTAATAAATTTTGTGAGTTCTTTAGTTGAATGGTGAAGAATTCGTGAAGTACTTCTCTCTTCATATATTAATCATTTGTTTATTTTGAAAAAATATAGCTGCCTTGCTTTATTTTAGAGGATACTCACGAGTATTACTGTGGAGAGTCATTTGGAAACAATTATTACTTCCTCTCCACTGTTCAGAGCATTATCTGTTATGGTTCTCCAGAGGTTACCCTTCTACACTTGTAGCTCATTCTTGTAATTGTTTGAATGCTTGTTCAATGTTTATTATTTCTAGAAACCGCAGTATTCCTCTAAATGCGATTGGTTTATACGCTTTGGCTGTAAACTTTCGTTCCAGATTTCAAACGGCTTAACCGGTGGGACATGACCCTGTAGGCCTAGGGCCTATAAATTTCCCATTTTTCATATGACATTGCCGTCATCGACAAATCCTAGGGCTTCTTTTTAATCACAGACCACCGTTTGAACGATCCTGTCAAAATGTACCCCCCTGTCCCAGCTTTCGACTAAGGAAAATCACCTCTTTTCGGTTTTTGTATCAATGGGTTATTGAAAGGTCAACTATTATAAACGAAGTAAGGGGACATGTCGAATGGTCAGGACGAAGCTACTAATACTAGCTATTATGGCCACATTATGTGGTCATAGTACGTGCATGTATATGCAACTAAAAAGTGCTTCGGGACTTAACGTACAGTTTCCCACCCAGGCTCTTCTGAATGTCTATTTTCAAAAAGGAAAAAAAAAACTCATCATCTTCCAGTCACCTGCCTGTTGTAGACCAAAATCTATGTCTCCGCTTTTCGATGGGGCCATGTGTAAACCGTGTGCTTTGTGGCTGCGGCTAGGGCTTTTTGCCATTTGCTCCCCCCATGGAAAGGTTTCATCCGCTTACAATGTCCGTTTTGTTTCTCTCTTTCCCTATACCTATATTTATACCTGTCGGCTGCCCACATGCCCGCACCGTTGAGTCGAGCCTTCCGAGCAGGGTAGGACGAACCCCAAGTACTCGACGCGCTGATACTTCTATCTGGAATGGTCTTGTCCTCCATCCCTAAAGGCCTTGGGGTTGAACAATCCACCGTCGTGAGTCCAGGCTCGGTAGGTCTTTCCTCTGGGGGAAGACAACCACACAGTTTTCAGTTGAGAAACGTTCAGAAGATTCCTAACAAGTACGATAATATCAACGAGAAAGGGGTTGCGTATGTACTCTTATATATGTGTGTGTGGGGGATCGAGATGCATCTGAATAAATGTTTTCCTGTAGACACAACAATGCCATTCAATTATTTCTTCTGTGGTCTGTAAAGTGCTTTTCATCAAGGCAAAGGCAGATCCAAAACAAGATTTTCCAGGCGTTATCCTATTGCTCGGGCACCAAATTATTGGAATTTCTCTATGGGACCGCCCAGGTCTTCTGAGAGGAAGGCGCTAATATATAGCTGGAAAATTAAGGAATGAAGTAGTTTTTCCACAAATTTTCCTAGGAAGGGCACATGACTCCCATTACCCCGCTCAGATTCGTCAATGCCTTTGATTGTACATTGCAGACACTTAAATAGCAAAGAATCAGTTGTTGCAGAGCGCGTGCTATCCAATAATTGCAGGATCTTGAATGGGCATGATATCGATCGTTTCTATATTGTGATAAGTTTCCCATTTTATGTGTGTTTGTGTCGTTCGTTACTGAGCTGCGCGTCCGAATAGCGGCGTCTGTAATCAAGAGGCTCGATTTTAAAACAAGGCATTATTTTAAGTTATGGAATTTTCCTGGAAAAGATCAAATAAAGTTATTATTTTCGTGCTAAGATACACGATCAAGTATCACAAGTCTGATTTATTTATGTTTCGTTATTTATTTTAGTATTTGTTTAAGAGATGACAATTATTCCTTACTGGATAACAGTGGTACTGCCTTAATTACCGAGTGTCATTGCTCCTTTTTTGAAGTGTAAACTACAAGTTCAAATAAAAGGCTTTTTTCCATGATAAGATGCTAATTGCCAAAAAAATATTATTGGAAAAATTTTTTCTGTCTCTGACTCACAAATAGATATAAACCAAAAAAGTTGAAGACTTGACATTTCGTACGATCAAGGCTTGTTTACTGCCACTCTCCGGAAATTATTTTTAAGTTTTTCCGCTTCAATATCCAGTTCTAACAATTTTTATCTAAAGATATTATTCCTGATATATTTAGACTTTTTTTGCGTTACTGGCCATTCCCGAATTCCTCGCCCCAAAGAATTAAGATATTTATTTTCATATTTTTTTTGCCGAAAAAAGTATAACAAAATGATAAATCCATTTACAATAATAGCCAGTTGCAGGTTTTTGGTTTGAATGGGTCAATGACTCAATGAGACGTAATCTTCCGATGAAACGGTTGAGGACTATATTACCTAAATTGCCTGCACATAATTTTAAAACCAAAAGCCGGAATTAGAAATGTAATCATAATTTAAACATTAAGAAATTTGATAAAATACTTCTGATTTCAAACCACTGCCTATTTAGATTGATTATTATATAAACCAATGGTTAAGGTTATTCAAAAATTGCACTTATTTTGCCGGTTGTTAGGTAGCTTACCAGCAAGGATACACAGCCTCCTCTCTGGACAACCACCACGTATGTTTTGCAGGACTTGCTTCTTCCAGTTGTCCAAATTACTTGAATCAGGTTTGGGTGGGGGACCAAAGTAACATGTCCTTGCTGTGCTCTCCGCTCCACTCAACAGCACTTGAATTCAAAGACAAATAATGATCTTTATCATCAAGATGACTTCTTTGATGGCATGACTACGTTGAAGTGTCTTTTTCAAAACCAGGTACTGCTAGGTATTCATTTCCTGTCTTTTGAACATATATCTGCTTGAGATTACCCGAAAATGACGTGAAATAAATGTTATCCTTGTCCGAACCGGATTTGCTTTACATGTTGCTTTAGTCCTTGTGGAACACCATTCTGGAAATCCCTTAGTAAGTTGACTCTACTTGATTGGCTCCTTGACACAACAAAATCCAATGGTGTTATACTCAAAAGACGGGAAGTAGATATCGTTATATATTTGGAGAAAAGAATACTTCATTGAAACTGGAAGTTTCAAAGAATCAGAACTGAAAACAATATTTTGCATGTTCAACCCCACAGTGAATGTTATAAAATGAACTTACTAAATTTTACCTGGTGTTAAAAGCCTAGAAGTTGATTTAGTGTTTTTGCCATGCTTCTTTTCTGTATACGTTGTACGCAGAAACACCGTTTTGCGCAACAGAAACCCTTGGAAAATTAAACAGCCAAGAATTTGACAGCGGCTCAGCGCAAGTAAACGACACATTGTGTCTAATACGATTTGATTTTTAGAGAGACCGAAAATTCATCAGAAATGCACGTTTCGAGGATTTAAATTACTAAAGAGAACTGATTAGAAACGCCCTCCTCTATAGTATGATTATTCTTTTCTTTTCTTTGTTTTTTTGCGCCACTGCATTTAACAAAATATATTTATCACTTTACACTTTTTTTCTTTTTTAAATGTGAGCACTTGTCAAGTTTGGGCTTCCCAGGTCCTTTTGGCAGTCATCCATCACACGTTACATACCTGGAAATATATGTACACTCTTTAGACTATAGTTACCTAACACATCTCCCAGGATATCTGAAAAGAATTCTTTAGCTTTCTGTCAAACGATGACCATCACAAAAGGAGGGGTGAGACTCTGTCTGTACTATATCTTGCTTCAAATTTAGCACAATGCAACAAAATCTACAGACATGCCTCCTATGCTGGGACGCTTCCGGACGTTATTTAAAAGGATTAAAAGAAAATTGATGGAATGGCTGACGATCTCAAAAGATTCACAACAAAGAGGAACGAGAATAAGACTATAAAATGGAAGAAAAAGAGGTATACCTGCCATTGTGGAAACAATCACAGTGAGAATTGCAGCTCCATCCATTTTTGCCAATGCTGTGACTGAATTTTCTGCTAGGCCTGTGAGGGTTCCTGTTTATCAATGAAAGTCAAACCAGCTTACCCCGCCCGCATGGACAGTTGAACGGTCTGACGTCTAAGGGCGGTCCAATTGCTGCATGAGTGAATATTTCTGATCATCTCAAAGCTGGAGCGGCCGGGGCGTATTCCGCCCAAGGCACTGTGTGGTTGTAAAACAGTGCTCCGCTCCATCGCGGTCCTGAGTGGTAGGCAAGTTATGTGATATATTTTTGGAGTCTTCATTAATAGACAAAGGAGTGTCAGTGCAATGCACGCGCTGGTCCACCAGACTCCATCTTGAAAGCTTTCGATGAAACCTTTCAAAGACACACGTCCCTACGTTACACACTCATCTATAAAATCACTTAGAAGCATCATCTTAAAAACAAAAATTGGCAAGAGTGATATGTTCCCATCACCTTGTCAAGGCCGTTTTCTTCTTATATCCCCATTGTCGGAAGTGGACAAAGTTTCGGGGTGTGGGCAAAGGCCCAACTACACTAAACCTGGTCCATACAATCGGTTTTCGATATTTCAAGGTCGGCCAGAGCCTCTAAGGGTTTTCTCTTAAATTCTTTACAAATATGTTGAACACAATCCATTTTTATCGTCCACCTAAATCGAAATGCCCCTAGTTGGGACAGACTATAACCAGGTATCACTCGTTACAATTTTTTCAATTCTTGATTTTGTACAAACCAAGCAAACGGGAAAGAAATGAAATGCCAATAAGTATATTTCCAAAAAAGTTTTTAGCGTTTTGTATGACCTTAAACGCTAGAGGGGCTAAGCCATCTAGACAAGATTACGTATTTTATTTTACGGTATCATAACGTACGGTAACATGTTTTATTCATCAGTAAAGCTAATTACCGGTTAATAATAAAGTGGCAACGCGAATATACATCAGCGAAACCTTCTATTAACTACTTGGTCTGCTTTCTGTTTGGTCTCTTTTTGGAATCTTAATGGGTTTTTTTCAGTGATGTAGAACGAGTTTTATTAGTGCTCATCAATAAATTGCACAGTTCACCCGTGGAGATGAGCATAATTTTGAAATGTTTACACAAGAATCCGACTGATACACCTTTTTCAACAAAGAAGTTAAAATATCGTAAATATCGAACAGGTTTCAAACATTAGAAAAGTAATTTTATAAAAAAGTACACCTAGATAATGATTACTATAACGGCAAAATTACTTTATTAAATTACTAAAAACATTTTCCTATTTGGATTTCTCCCCTCTAAAAAACAGGGAAAAAATAACTAGGGAAAAATAGCTTTATAGAAAATAGTGATAAAATACTGATAAAACACAATTTTTCTAAGTACGAAAACTGTTTTTCAATTACTTTTCAAAGTTTCATTGACGAGTAATAGTGGAAGAATTTAATAACAATGGCACTTTTTGATATTTTCTTAATTAATTCCATATTACACGTATTCACAGGGGCCATAAATGACTCAATAGGGGAAAAGTACAAATGCTTTTTAGAAAACAAAATCCTACTGGCAGTTTAAAAAAAATGATATTTTAAAAGATATTTTAAATAAATGCTACTTTTAAAATAGAAAACTAGTTTTAAGAAATGTAGGATGTAATGCTCTGGTGCTAACATTATCTGAAATGTCACTTTTAGGATCCCTTTTTAAATGCACAACACATTTAAACGGAACATTTTACCAAGATTATGAACTGATTTTGAGGGAATTTGAGCTTAGGACCCACCCATTGATAAGTCAGTCTTATGTGACTTTGCAAGAGTTAATTAGCGTTATGGTGCATCATACAACAAGGGATGCATACATATTTAGGCTGCAAAAAATGTATTAGGCTAAATTTGATGTTCAATATCATTACTTGATGTTAATATAAATAAAACCTCAGCCTCAAAATTAATAGCCTTACAGAAAAAAAACTTGCGGGTAAATGTAGTTTGAACTTCAATCTCTGAGCTAAGTTGGCCTTGCTGGCCAGCTGGGTGGTACCCTTTTTTGGCACCAGCCTGTGGGCTTGCATGGTTTGTACTGTTGTTTCAGATGTGAAGCCCTTACAAGGTTCAGATCCTTAAGTACATGCATACGCTTTGTGCACAT